TCAATGCACATCCTGCTTCCAGTCACGACTCTTTTTGTTATTGATTCGCCCTTTTCGTTCTTAACTATTGTGACTCCTCCTTTCTTAGGTACGACATGAACTGGGCTAACCCATTCACTATCGGAGATTGGATAGATGATTCCTGCATCTAGCAATTTCTTTACTTCATCTCTGACTACAATGCTTAGGATGGGGTTCAGTCTTCTCTGATGCTCTCTAGAGGTTTTACAGTCTTCCTCTATTGTAATTCGATGCATACAGATTGAAGGGCTTATACCTTTTAGATCGCTTATGTTATAGCCTAACGCGGTGGGGTACTTCTTTAGGACTTCTAATAGCTTTACGGTTTCTAGTTGTCCTAAGTCGGCGTTGACTATCACTGGTCTTTTTAGTTCATCGTCTAGGAATTCATATCTAAGGTTTTTGGGTAGTGTTTTAAGTTCTAAAGATGGGTTCTTCGGACCTGGCATATGGTTTGGGGTCAGTGCTAAGCTTTCGCTTAGGCTGTTGTCTTTATACGGTTTACGCCAATCATCGTCTTCAGAAATATCGGGTATTTGAATCTTTATTATTTCTGAATACGTGGTCTCTTCATTTTCAAGTTCTCTTATGCATTCGTCAATTACATCTACTAAATAGCAGGTATCGTCTATGACTGGTGCTTGTAAGAACTTGGTGAGAATGAACTCTATCTTTTCTTCTCCTACTTCGAATGTTAGCCTTCCTTTCTTCACGTCTATAATAGCTCCGGCTGTAGCTAGGAACGGTCTTCCTAGGATAATTGGGGTAACAGAGTCCTTTTTGATGTCCATGATTATGAAGTCGGTTGGGATGTAGAATTGTCCTATGCGTACTGGAACGTTTTCCAGTATTCCGACGGGGTATTTTACTGATCGGTCAGCTTATTGTACGGACATTTTGGTTGGTCTTAGGTCTCCCATATTCAGCTTTTTGCATATAGATAAAGGCATAACACTGATATTGGCTCCTAAATCGCATAGAGCTTTGTCTATTACGAACTTTCCTATGACGCAGGGTATGGAGAAACTACCTGGGTCTTTTAATTTAGGAGGCATGCGGTTTTGAATAATAGCACTACACTCTGCAGTAAGTGTAACTATTTCGTTATCCTTGATCTTTCTCTTATTTGACAGGATTTCTTTGAGAAATTTAGCGTATGACGGCATTTGAGTTATTGCTTCTGTAAAAGGAATAGTGATATTCAACTGTTTAAGGAGCTCTACAAATTTCTTAAATTGTCCTGAAGTTTTGGAGTTTATTAATCTTTGAGGATAAGGGATAGGTGGTTTATATGGCGTTGGAGGTGCTTGCGTTTTTTCACTTGCTGTATCCTCCTTCTCGTTGTCTTCCTTCTTCTCTAACTCGGATTCCTTTTCTGCTTGTTCAGTTGGTTTTTGTTGCATGGCTGAGTTTTCGGTCCTCGGATCGATCGGTTCGTCCAATTCTTTTCCGCTTCTTAATATTACAGCATTTTCTTGACCTTTTGGATTCTGTTCGGGTTGTCCAGGAAATGTGCCAGCGGGTGCGGCAGCAGAGGCTTGTTGTTGAGCCACTTGTGATATCTGTGTTTCTAACATTTTGTTGTGGGTGGCTAAAGCGTCTACTTTTCTAGTCAGCTGTTTAATTTGCTCGCTAGTGTGTATGTTTTGATTCAGGAATTCTTTGTTTGTTTGAGCTTGAGTAGCTATGAATTTTTCCATCATCAACTCGAGGTTTGATTTCCTAGGTGCATTCTGAGCAGCAGCTGGTTTCTGATATCCTGGCGGAGCAGTAGGCATCTGCAATGCATTATCGCTTTTGTAAGAAAAGTTTGGATGATTTCGCCAACCTGGGTTATAGGTATTTGCGTAAGGATTTCCTTGAGCATAATTTACTTGGTCTGGTGGGATTCCGGCCAGCAATGGGCATTCGGGCGCATTATGAGTGGCGATTCCGCATAACTCGCAGTTTGGAGTTACGGCAGCGATGGTTGCAGTGGGGTTAACGGTCAGACTGTCAATCTTCTGTGCTAGAGCATCTACTTTAGCGTTGAACTTTTCAAGGCTGCTGATCTCGTACATCCCACCTTTCGCTGCGGGTTTCTCTGTTGGAATGCGTTCACCTCCCCATTGGCAGTGGTTCCGAGACATGTTTTCGATTAGTGGATAGGCTTCGTCGTATGGCTTATCCATAAGTGCACCGCCCGCGGCGGCGTCTACCGTTAATCTGGTGTTGTATAAAAGCCCATTATAGAAAGTATGGATTGTCACCCAGTCTTCTAGACCGTGGTGAGGACATGTTCTCATCATATCTTTGAATCGTTCCCATGCTTCGTAAAGAGATTCTGTATCTTTTTGTCGAAATCCGTTGATTTGAGCTCTAAGCATAGCAGTCTTGCTTGGCGGAAAATATCTCGCTAAGAAAACGTTCTTCAACTGTTCCCACGTCGTAACGGAGTTGGATGGTAAGGATTGTAACCATGTCTACGCTCTGTCTCTAAGAGAGAAAGGGAAAAGACAAAGTCTTATTGCGTCTGGAGTTACTCCATTTGCTTTCACTGTGTCTGCGTATTGTACAAACTTCGTTAAATGTTCGTTTGGGTCCTCAGTTGCATTTCCTGAGAATTGGTTTTGTTGTACAGCTGACAGCAATGACGGTTTCAGCTCAAAATCGTTTCGAGTAATAGCTGGGGCAGCAATGCTACTTCTAGGCTCCATCTGAGAGGGTGTAGCGTATGCCTTCAGCGGTTTGTTTTGAGGTCCTTCGGCCATCTTTGATTCTTCTTCAGATTTGGGAATGGGAGTGAGAGGATCGAGAATGTTATGTTTTAGTTGGTACTCAATGATGCGACTTCTTAAATGTAAGAAACGTTTTAGTTCTACGACTGAAGGTTTTAAGATATCGCCTTGTGGGCGATTACTTGGCATACAATCGACAAAACCAGTAAAGGGAAAATAAAATTGTTAACCTAGTTTATACGGCGTAACAGAAGGTTACACTATTGACTAAACGGGTCCCCGGCAACGGCGCCAAAAACTTGATCGCGACTTTCTATGTCTAATACAACTTAACTGCAAGTGCACAGTCTATCGCGTAGTAATAAAAGATATCAATCCCACAGGGACTCGTAATCAAACTAGTGTTCTCGGGAGTTACTATGTTTAGCTAGGTAGATGATGTTTAAGGAAATAATTTCTGTCACTAAAGGGAACTAAAAACGTTACTTGAATTATAATTACGTGAATCGATATGCAGTAATTATGTTCTTCGGGGATTTGACAAGTTACCGGTATATGAAATATTTTTCAGAATTTATTTAAGCAGAAAATAGTGATCTGAAGACTTTCGTCTCACGATGGTTGTTGACGCTAGTCATAATTCTAAGGGTCGAATGTACGCTTTCGCTGTCCCATTCGGGGTTAAAACTACTTTTTGGAAATCTCTAAGTTCTAATCCATTTTAAAGTGCTTTCGCTGTTATTAAAACAAATGCCTAGTGTTTACTATCTGGTCTTACCGCAGCTGTCGCTTGTTGGTTGGTACCTTAATTAATTTCCCACTGTCGTGGCAAAACTACTTTTAAATAAGTCCTCGCTTTCGCGACGAACGTTTATTCAGTAAATAAGTTTAAACACGCAGACCATAAACAACATTTGAAAAAGAAAGTTTTCAACCGATTATTATCAAATCCCATCTGAATTATTATTACATATCGATTACTCTGATTTAGCTAGACATGGATTTGGGAACGGTAAAACATAAATAAAAACAGAAACTTAGAACATTCATATTACTGAGAATTAAAGTTACAATTAACGAAATAATGAAAAAACCTGTAACGTATCCAATTGGCTTTTGGCCAAATCCCAACGATGTCGGCAGGATTATGTCTTCAAACCAATAGAGCGCACAAACGAATATTGTCGAAATGGAATACAGGAATAAGGAAAGGAAACAAAAACAAAAAGAATAAAACTAAATTTTTGCTCTGGAAATAAATTTGGGCAGCACTTCGTTGTCTGAATGCGACTCCCTTTCTTAGCTCCCCTCCTTCCCCTTTTATAGAAGTAGAATTCTAACGGTTGTAATTTGAAGAAGGTGGACTTGGAGGCAGAAATATCAGGGAGTAGTGGTCCATTATTTGGGACTTGGAACTGCATTTTGCACGTTCATTTGAAGTTGTGCGTTTTTGCCTGTATGACGGTCGTCATGGTGTGTGACGGTCGTCACAGCAGCAAAATGTGCATTTTGCGTTTTTCATGTTGTTTTCATCTGGTTTTCGTCCATATTTCATCTGTAATTGCTTCTTTTCTTCATATTGCTTTGTTTAGACATGATCATCAAATACCTGCAAAATATCAGACAAATAACATGGAAAGAACCCGGAATAGGATTGAAAACAGTCAAACATTAGTTGAATTATGCATCAATATATATATACGATTTCGTGTTATCAAGCAGCAGAGTTAATCACTAGGTCATCAGAGTCTTAAGTCTTCAGAGTCTTCAGAAATTGTTCACTAGAACCTTGTCTTCAGAATCTTTAGCACTTAGTCTTTAGAGCTCATGGTCTTCAAAAACTTAAGTCTTCAGAGTCTTTAGAGCTTCGTTTAGAAGAACCTTGTCTTTAGAGTCTTCAGCACTTATTCTTCGAAGTATAACAACTTTAGAAGCTAGATAACCTTCAGAAGTAAACATCAGAGTCACGCTCAGAGCCAAAATCCAAGAGAGCATTGCAACAACAACATATTTTCTTCTTAAAATATTTCTGAATGTGAGTAAGTACAGAAGCAGACTAGCTTCTTTGGCGCAGAAGCGACTTTTGTCATACCAGAATGACATTTCATATGGTCTCTATTAGAGTCAGAACCTATTTGTTAAAACTTCATAATAACAAACTGATAGAGTACCAAAATTATTTTCACACAAATACTACTTTGTTATTATCAAAACTTAGCGATAACCAGCATAACTAAATATTGTTCTAACACCATGGTTATGCTAACTTGAATCACTTTCCCAGGAAAGAAAGTTGATTGATGAATTGATGACTTTGCTTAACCTGTTTGTGAGGATCTTAGAGATTATTTTATACACAGTTGAGCAGGAAGCTATGAGCCTCATATCCTTCATTTTCTTTGCCTCAGTAGATTTTGGGATAAGAGTAACAATTGCGTAGTTGACGGCATCATACATGTACTTATCATCAAACAAATCTAGCACAACTTTAATTAGATATTTTTTTATAATACTCCAAGTTGCTTTGAATAATTTTGAAGTGAATCCATCCATACCTGGTGCTTTTGACTCCCCTATGAATTTCAGGGATTGCAAAATTTCATGTTCAGATACTTGTTGGATAAGTTTCTCTCTATGATTCTCTTCTAATTGGGCCCCTCTTCTCAAGTCTTTAATATCCACATGCATGAGAGTCTGAGTATTAGTCCCAATCATCTTCTGATAGAATTGGATAATCTCCTGTTCAATATCTTTAAACTCATCCAAAATTTTACCCTGATTATTTTCCAGTCTATGCAATCCATTTTGTTTGTTTTTCTCCTTCATAATGGCATGGAAGTAAGCATTATTGCCATCTCCAAGCCTTAACCAATCGACTTTGTAATTTTGCATCAGAGATTTTTCCTCCATATTAGTGCTATTGAGAAGCTCTTCGGTCCAATGCTTGAATTCATTAATAAGTTTAGGGTTAAACATATCACTATTCAGCTTCTGTTGCACATGGTCTAGCTTGTCTTTGTACTCTTGGATCTTTTGGGCACTTCTACTAACCTTTCTGCCCATTCCTCTAAAGATTGGTTGGAGCCTTTTCAACTTACTCCACAGTTTCTGTATTGGTCTCCCCTCTATCTCAACATTCCATCTACTACTCACCACACCCATAAAATTAGGCTCACCTATCAAAGCATTTATGAATTTAAACTTAGGTTGGTTCTTTCTCTTTGGAGGCAAGTTTACATCTCTGATCATTTTGAAGGGAGAGTGGTCAGAGATTTGGGGGGCAACAGTTCAATGTTACTATTAGGGTACTTCAAATGCCATTATTTGTTACAAATAGCTCTGTCTATTCTTGAGTATATGGCCCCATTAGTGTGATTTTTAGACCAAGTATAGTGCTTCTCGGTTGTGTTGTGCTCAAATAACCCTGTGATTTTCATCCTCATCATCATATCAAGATCTTGATACTCCACTTCATGAACAGGGCAACCCCCTACTCTATCATCAACTGTCAGTACATTATTATATTCCCCAATTACAACCCAAGGATCTTTAATTGTTATAGTTAAGCCTTGTATATGATCCCAAAGTTCCCTTCTTTTGTTGAGTTGGTTGTGAGCATATACAATTGTCATCCAATATTGTTTTTCTCCTCCTTTATTCAGCACTTCACAATGAATCAATTGGTCATATTTCTCAATGACTTTGACCTCAATCTCCTCTTATTTCCATATAATCCATATTCTACCATTGTTATGTTTCTCATAGTTATCATACCATCTCCACTTATTCCCAAAACTCATTCTGATTTTATTGGCATCATACTTACTTCCCAACACATCAAATCCATTGTTGCAACCAATATTAGGAAAACTCATTCTGATTTTATTGGCATCATACCCTAATTTTTACACCTAAGATTCCACATTCATTTGCATCATCTGCATAACATCAACAATTTCATGTGTGTGTATTTTATGCATTACTGATCCCATTGAAAATACAAAAATATGTGCCTTGCTTGCTTTGTTTACAAGATAAGGTTTTGCATCAAGAAGTTCAAGCAGATAACCAATCAAGGTTTTGATGTGATCATCAACATCTCAAATTATTCCACTTATTTATGATTCAATAGTTTCCCTTCATCAATAATCAAGTTTGAGATTGCATCAATGCAAGTTCATCAAGCTCCAATCATCCGGTACACCAAATTAGGGTTTTTAACCAAAGACAGCTCGATGTTGACTTTTCATATGAACATGATCTCATACCTCAAGACATGATTCAAGGGTCTCAAACAAATATTTTTAGTCCATTCACATGATCCAAATATCCCAAGAACTTTGATTCATCGGCAGATAAAAGATTTTGATTCAACTAAGAAAAGTCAACAGATGTACAAGGTCAAAGTTTGACTTTTGGTCAACTTTGGGCTTCTCAAGTCAATAGTCAAGGAAATATGGAGGATGATTGAATTTGATCAAGCTAAATTAAAGAAATCATAAAAAGATGCAAAATTGTCCAAATTAGGGTTTCAGAAATTTTTTGAATGTGCAGAATTGTCCAAACTTCTGCAAAATTGATCTCAACACATGAGAGAAGAGCTTGGTCCAATGTGGCAACTTGAATTGCATCATGGGCAATGTGTGAAAAGTTCCTTTTTGACCTTTTATTGTTCTAGAATCTATGAGAGTTTCTCAACACATTAGAGATAACTTGTACAATCTGAGAATGGCTCAAGAATGTCAACTTGCAGCCACACTAGAAAGCAAGCCTATGTTGTACCTTCCACCAACTTTATGGAAAAATTGCATTGTCCATTGAATATTGATTTTGTTTTATTTAACTTGCTCTCTTGATCAAATTCAAAGCCTCTATATAAACCAGCTTCATTGCATTGCAAAAACACATAAAAACACACCAAGATAAACAACACTAAATCTCAATATAACACTCCCTCATCAAAGGAAGAAAACTCTTGAAACTTTCTTGTATTTCTTCATTTTTCAAAGTCATTCTGAGTTTCTAACCACACAACCATCATACATTCCTATCTTTCATTCAAACACCTTCCATCAACATCATTTAAGCTTCTGAAATACACAAGAACACATCTTTACACTTAGAACCAGAAATCACAGTTTTCCAAACCTCCATTGTTGTCTAAAAGCAAGAACTTCAAAACTCACTATTCTTGTACTTTCCTTCCACTTTCACACTTAAAACACATTCCATAGACCATACATAAGCTTCTGTATTCATCAAACATGACCTGAAACACCTCAAACTCTATAACAACTTTTCACTCTCTTCACTTGCAAGTTGATTTGGATAGAGTTATTCTAAAGGTTTCAAGTCAAAGTTAAGGTACCAACACACTCCAGAGAACTCAAGGGAGCTAAAGACATTATTTTATCTCATCTGAAAGAGCTTTAGAAGGTGCATTGGACATACTCAAATATGTAAATTTGCGTGATTCCAAACTCTTTGTTTAAGGCATTATTTTCATCCATTCAAGTTACTATTCTAATTGCCTTAACATGTTGATTGAAAGCCCCATAAAAATGGGCATTGGTTCATTGTGTATGGAGTTTAATTTTATTTTGAAAGTTTGGGGGTTCTTCTGGTATTTGTATGATTTCTTGATTTACAGTTTAAATAAATAAAATCTAATGACATATTTGAAATCCTTGTAAAATTATGATCATGATGCTATATACACATTCCTTGTTTGGTTCAAAAGTGGAAAAGTTGCATTTTTTGAAAATTAATAGTTATAGAACAAACACGAGGAAGATGGAATTTTCATTTTTAAATTCCAATTTTATATTATATATTATTTGGTTCATGCTTATGCTAAGATGTGTGACTTGACCTAGTGGTGAGATGTTTGGTTGTTGAAGTAAATGGTTGTTGAAGTAAAATTCCAAAAAAAAAAACATTTTATTATTTTTTTTTAATTTTTTTTCACACTAAAAATCCAAAAAAAAACATGATCATTTTATTTAACTACATATTAAAACCTTAAAAAATAAAAATAAAACATTTTATTTCTCATATTTAAAAACTCCAAAAAAAATTTGCAATCTCTTTTATTTATTTATTAGGGCTCTTATTTATTTATTTATTTATAAATGTACATTTGATTTGATTTTATTTTAAAATACTTTGTTTAATATTATTGTTGATTGTGATGTTCATACTTGTTTCAATTGTTTAATGTTTAGGAATTTGTTGATTGCATTGTTGACCTAAAATCTTTGATGAATCCATGATTGTTCCAAATATTTAATACTTGATATTCTAAATGATGAATCCATGTTTTTTTGTTTCTTGTGATGTTCATGTGTTAATGTTGTCTTGTATAAACATGTTGTGATTGATGATGATGTATTTATTATATGTACCATGTCTGTGCTTGATGATTCATGTTGATATTGTTCTTATTTGAGCCATGTCCTATGCATATCTTTGCCTTATGTCTTTAATGTTGGTCCTCGTTTAGTCATGTGTTTAAAATTGTGTTACTCTTTTTTTATTTAATATCTTTTTATTTTCTTTTTCTTTATATCTTTTTATTTTTCATCTTTATTTTTTAATATTTATTAAAAATTCCAAAAAAAAAAACATTTTATTATTTTTTTTAATTTTTTTTCACACTAAAAATCCAAAAAAAAACATGATCATTTTATTTAACTACATATTAAAACCTTAAAAAATAAAAATAAAACATTTTATTTCTCATATTTAAAAACTCCAAAAAAAAATTGCAATCTCTTTTATTTATTTATTAGGGCTCTTATTTATTTATTTATTTATAAATGTACATTTGATTTGATTTTATTTTAAAATACTTTGTTTAATATTATTGTTGATTGTGATGTTCATACTTGTTTCAATTGTTTAATGTTTAGGAATTTGTTGATTGCATTGTTGACCTAAAATCTTTGATGAATCCATGATTGTTCCAAATATTTAATACTTGATATTCTAAATGATGAATCCATGTTTTTTTGTTTCTTGTGATGTTCATGTGTTAATGTTATCTTGTATAAACATGTTGTGATTGATGATGATGTATTTATTATATGTACCATGTCTGTGCTTGATGATTCATGTTGATATTGTTCTTATTTGAGCCATGTCCTATGCATATCTTTGCCTTATGTCTTTAATGTTGGTCCTCGTTTAGTCATGTGTTTAAAATTGTGTTACTCTTTTTTTATTTAATATCTTTTTATTTTCTTTTTCTTTATATCTTTTTATTTTTCATCTTTATTTTTTAATATTTATTAAAAATTCCAAAAAAAAAAACATTTTATTATTTTTTTTAATTTTTTTTCACACTAAAAATCCAAAAAAAAACATGATCATTTTATTTAACTACATATTAAAACCTTAAAAAATAAAAATAAAACATTTTATTTCTCATATTTAAAAACTCCAAAAAAAAATTGCAATCTCTTTTATTTATTTATTAGGGCTCTTATTTATTTATTTATTTATAAATGTACATTTGATTTGATTTTATTTTAAAATACTTTGTTTAATATTATTGTTGATTGTGATGTTCATACTTGTTTCAATTGTTTAATGTTTAGGAATTTGTTGATTGCATTGTTGACCTAAAATCTTTGATGAATCCATGATTGTTCCAAATATTTAATACTTGATATTCTAAATGATGAATCCATGTTTTTTGTTTCTTGTGATGTTCATGTGTTAATGTTGTCTTGTATAAACATGTTATGATTGATGATGATGTATTTATTATATGTACCATGTCTGTGCTTGATGATTCATGTTGATATTGTTCTTATTTGAGCCATGTCCTATGCATATCTTTGCCTTATGTCTTTAATGTTGGTCCTCGTTTAGTCATGTGTTTAAAATTGTGTTAAGGTTGTGTATCATGTTTCCGACACTTAACTTCATTTTTGAATGTCATATATGTTTGTGTATCCATGTTCATCTTATTCTATTTTTTCTTAAATCAAAGGAAAAAAATTCTTGTTGACTTATTGTCATATGCATGTATATAGTTGTTACATTCCCTACTCACCCATTGTTTAGATCTAGTTCAAACCTTAGGATTCTCTTAATTTTGAACATTTACCACTTTGATTTTTCACTCAAAACTTTCCCAAAGAGATTAGACATAAGTCATCTCTATAGAATATATGTCTCTTCTATCCCATAATATAATTGAAATGTTGAGATACTTTTTCCATTTAAGAGAGGTATGTGACATACTTGTTGATTCTACATCCAAGTTGGAGCCCTTCTCTTATTATAATGCAAAGATCCACTTTCTCTATGTTTGTGGTGGTATAATGCATCATTTCCTTTTAAGATGACAACTTGTCTCTTCTCCTAAAACAAATAAACAAACATGCTTTCACCCATAGTTATCCAAACTACGATTGCTCTAACTTTCTATTAATGATACGTAGGCATAGGATTGCGAGATCCTGACGAGCTATCTTTTTCTTTTCTCCCTTTTCAATAAAACAATAAAACATTCCACATTTTGCCCAATCAATAGCAAACGACTTTAGCCAAGAAAACATAGATATTTCAAGAGGTTCCTATATGATATTGTAGATACTTAGGGTGCTAGTATCTTCCCTTAGTA